GAGACAGGGTTTCTCTGTGTAGCCCTGGCTGTCCTGGAACTTACTCTATAGACCAGGCTGGCCTCGAACTCAGAAATCCACCTGCCTCTGCCTCCCAAGTGCTGGGATTAAAGGTGTGTACCACCACTGCCTGGCTAAAAAGTTACTTCTTCAAGGTATATATTTAGGTCTGTTTTTTATTCACCCACCATATCATCATTCTACCACAGCTAAGATGTTCGATTCTAGGCATGTTTTGACCTTCCCATGTAGGTGCAAAGGAATAGAACAGAAATCTAAATTTATTTCACCCTATTCATAATTCAGGCCTATTAAGATTTTTTACCTCTGATCTTTCACAACTCTACAGTAAACATCTCAGTTCAAACTTTTTGGTAACATTGATCTTAATTTTTGACGTTTTGTATGTATATGAATGTGACTTTGGTGTATATATGTATACCAGTACACACAGTGTCTGCAGGTGCTTGAACCTATGCAGAGGCCAGAGGGAGGGGTTCTCCTCTACCTCTTCCTCCCTGGTTTCTTGGAGGCAGAGTCTCTCTGAATCTGGAGTTCAAGGTTTTCTGTAATCTGGCAGCCAGGAAGCAAAGCCCAGAGGTCTTCACGTTCCCACCCCTGAGTGCTGGGCTGCAGGAGTGTCTAGGACCATACCTGGCTTTTATGACGTAAGGAAGATCCGAACTCCGGTCTTTATGACTGTACAGCGCACATCCTTAACCACTAAGCCATTTTTCTAGCCCCAACTTTATGTTAAGATGAATTATTACAAGGGGAGGTCGGTAAATTATTATTCTAATGTAAGCCACGTACATGCTTTTAATCCGAGAGCTCTGGACTGATGCAGAAAAAAATGTGAGTTTGAGGCCAGTTAGGGCTATATAACAAGATGTTGATTGAAAAAAAAATTTATTAGAGGTAGGGGTGTGTGTGTGTATGTGTGTGTCTATCCAAATGTAAAGCCACCCATTGACATTACTTGTATAAGTCAATCCTATGATGATTGGGACTCTGTTGTGTGTTCTTCTTCAAGGACCTGAGGGAGCCGACATGGAAGCAGTGGAGAGAATTCCTTGTCAAGTACTCCTTTCTCCCGTACCAGCTGATTGCAGAATTTGCCTGGGACTGGCTGGAGGTCCACTACTGGACCTCCCGCTTCCTTATCGTCAATGCCATGCTGCTGTCTGTTCTGGAGTTGTTCTCGGTTTGGAGGATCTGGTCAAGAAGCGAGCTGAAGTAAGTGCCTGTCTGTGGGAAGTGGTGGGAGCAACGGGGAGTGGTAAAGAAATACCAACGAGGATGAGGATGGTCCCCTTTAAAGTATTTTCAGGGGCTGGAGAGATGGCTCAGTGGTTAAGAGCACTGACTGTTCTTCAAGAGGTCCTGAGTTCAAATCCCAGCAACCACATGGTGGCTCACAACCATCCGTAATGAGATTTGATGCCCTCTTCTGGTGTGTCTGAAGACAGCTACAGTGTACTTATAAGTAAAATAAATAAATCTTTAAAAAAAAAAAAAGTATTTTCAGACCTGGCATGGGGAGAGAGGACTTCCTAGCACCCACATCAGGCAGCCTACAGTGGCCTGTAACTCCAGCCCCAGGGGATCTGGCATCCTCTTCTGGCTCCTGAGGGCACTGCATTCATATGCAGAAACCTATACACATATACATATAGCTAAAATAAGTGAATAAAAATAAAGTCTTTTTAAAAAAGTCTACCTTGACTCCTCAGGCTCTGATCTGAGAAATATTCTCTACACAGCAGATAAGAAAGTTATTTGTGTCGAGGAGGCAGTCTTCATTTCATAGAGTGGTTTGGTTTTATTCTTGATGTTCTTTAGTTTCTTTATTTTGTTAGCAATAGGGTCTGTCTTAGGCTTCTAATGCCATGATAAAACACTGTGATCAAAGTCAACTTAGAAAAGCTGATGTGGTGGTGCACTTTTTAAATCTCAGCACTGGGATCTCAGCACTGGGAGGCAAAGACAGGCAGATCTCTGTGAGTTCAAGGCCACCTGGTCTACAAATCGAGTTTCAGGACAGCCAGGGCTGTTACACACAGAAACTCTTTATTGGGAAAAAAAAAATCAGTTTGTGGAAGAAAGGATTTATTTCATCTTACTGTTTGTAGTTTATCCAAGGAAGTCAGGGCAGGAACTGAAGCAGAGGCCATGGAGGGATACTGCTTCCTGGCTTGTTCACCACGGCTTGCTCAATTTGCTTTCTTATACCACCCAGACCTTTGCAGAAATGGCATGGCCTATAGTGTGCCAGGTTATCTCCTGTCAGACTTCTGAACTATAAGCACATGCTGTTCCGCCTGACTCTTTGCGTTTGTTGGTTTAGTTTTTAGGTTTTCGTTGTGTATGTATATATTTATTTACTTTGTGTATGTATACTAAGTTATTTTGTATATGTGTATGTTTATTTTGTCCTGCTTTGTAGCTCTGTCTAGCTACTCACTAGCAGATTAAGGTCACAAATGCTAGGACTAAAGGAGCGTACCACTATGCCTGGCTCATTGTTCTAAGTGTGCGTGTATGTGTGTGTGTGTGTGTGTGTGTGTGTGTGTAGCCCATGACTGGTCTCAAACTTAACAAACCTGACTCTGCCTGACAAATACTGGAATTACAAGCTTGTACAACCATACCTGGTTTCCATATCTCATTGTTATTTAAAAGTAAGCCAGATAACTCCTGGGGTGGGATGTATTTGAAGGATTTTATTAATTGATGACTAATCAAAGGAAAACCAAGTATAGAAAAGAACAATATAGTAAAGGCCAGAGAGGCATCATGGGAATTTTATAGTGTTCTGATTCTTTTTTGCCAGCGCTTGGGAGAATAACTTTTCCTGATTAATGTAGGTTGAGAACATTGGGCTACCCAGTCTATAAGTAAATCTCTTGGTGGCAAGTTACAAGAGCCTACCTAATTAACTTACTACAACGGGTTTAAATGCTCACCCAGAGTAGAAAGCTTGTTTGGACCCTGAGGGCCTTATTGCTGTGAAGAGACATTATGACCATAGCAACTCTTATCAAGAACAACATTTAAGTGGGACTGGCTTAGAGTTTCAGAGGCTTTATTGTCATGGTGGGGAAGCATGGTAGCATACAAGCCAGCATGGTGCAGGAGAAGGAGCTGAGAGTTCTACATCTTGGTCTCCAGGCATCAGAAGGAGACTACATGTCACACTGGGCATAGCTTGAACATATAAGACCTTAAAACCTGCCCCCACAGCGATATTTCCTCAAAGAAGGCCACTCTTAATCCAACAAGGCCACACCTCCTAATAGTGCTACTCCCTATGGGCCAAGTACTCAAATACATGACTGTATGATGGGCATACCTATTCAAACTAGCATAGACCCAGAGATCCAAATGCTCTCCTCAGAGCTGTCTCCTTCAGGACCACCTCACTCACAGGCTGTCCTTTACTGTGCTAGTCAGCTCCTCTCAGCTCTTCTTGCATCTCATGGCTTGTGGTTGCTCTAGAGCTTGGCCTAGCAGTAACACTAAAAAGCAAGCACTTCTCTTCCATCACACTTGAAACAAGCCTTTACTGTGATTGGTCCAGCTTGAATCATGTGCTCACACAGACATGTTACACTGCATGGGTGTTCTGGGCTCTCCATGGCTAAGCTCAAGATATGAAGCATATCTCCAGTTCAGACCACATAGGAAAAATAGATGAGGGAGGGCCTAGAATGCTCACATTGCCCCAGGTAGGCAAGGCAGGTACCTACAGAGCAATTCAGACTATTTCAGGAAAACAGCTCCAGGCAAACAGGCTACCAGATTGTTTCATGTTGATGTCCTGTCTCTCACATGATTCCTGGCCTTATAAACTGTTGTAAGAAACTCTCTCAAATGTTTCTATTCAGCAGACTCATTTATTCATTTAGAGAATGTGGATATTTGTGCTTAGACTTTGTTCCTCTGCATTTCTTCCCCAGCACCACATCAACAAGATATGGTGGCACATGTCTGAAATCCCAGCCTTCAGGAGGCAAAGGCAGAAAGATAAGAAGTTTAAGATCATCCTTAGCTACATAGCAAGTTTAGGCCAAGCTTGAGCTATATGAAAGTTTGTCTCAGGAAAAAAAAAGTGTCATTGCCAGATTGTGACGGCACATGCCTTTAATTGAGAGGCAGAGGCAGGTGGATCTCTGTCAGTTTGAGGCCAGCCTGGTCTAGAGGTCCAGGACAGCCAGAACCTGTCATAGAGAAAACCTGTCTTGAAAAACCAAAAAGAAAGAAAAAGAAAAGGGGTGACAAAGCAGGTCGAACAGAAGCTGTGCCAGTGTACACAGAGCATCCTTAGAGGACACGTGCTAGGAGCTAGAGACTAGTGAGGCAGAAGTGTTTCCTCAATTGTGGGAACAGGTGAAAGAGTAGACCCTCAGCACCCAGCTTATCCAAGCCCACCCGCCACCACCCTTCTTCTTCTTGTTTTTTTTTTAGGACAGTGCCGCAGAGGATGTGGAGCCACTTTTGGAAAGTATCGACACAGGGGCTTTTCATGGCCATGTTCTGGCCACTCATTCCTCAGTTTGTCTGCAACTGTTTATTTTACTGGGCTCTGTACTTCAACCCAATTATTAACATTGATCTGGTGGTCAAGGAAGTCCGACGGCTGGAAACCCAACTGTTATGATCAGCAGCAAGAACCCGAGAGAGCCCATGAATCTACCTGACATCCAAGCTCTGACACTCAACAAGACAAGGGACTCATTTCTACCCCTAGTAATGCAAGGTGCTGCTGCTTCTGTGTGTCAAGGCTTCAGCAAGGTTCCTCTTCCTCTAACTCTGGCCCCTTGCCAGTTGACTGCTACCCAGGTCAGGCTGGACTCTGTGGTCAATACCCAGCCAGTCTTACAGGGACTTGAGAGACTTAGGCTATTATGGCCAACAGAAGTGAAAGTCTTGGACATAATTTGGGGTGACATGCTGTCAAAAGGCCAATATAGGCTGGGTGTGGTAGTGCACACCTTGAATCTGAGCACTTGGAAAACAGAGACAGGTGGATTTTTGAGTTCAAGACCAGAGTGGTCTATATATAGATTTAGTTTTAAGACAGCCAGGGCTATAGAAAGAAATCCTGACTCAAAAAAAAAAAAAAAAGAAAGAAAGAGAGATGGGGGGGAGAGAGAGAGAAAGAGAGAGAGGTAGGGAGGGAAGAAGAAAGGAAGGAAGGAAGGAAGGAAGGAAGGAAGGAAGGAAGGAAGAAAGAAAGAAAGAAAGAAGGAAAGAAAGAAAGAAGAAATCAAAACAAAACAAAAAGAAGAAAAGATAAAAAGGAAGGCCATTATGGTCAGTAGCCTTAACCTCACAGACTTACAGGGTCCCAAACCAGGCTTGTTGGGGCCAGTTCTGTCCCGTGAGTCAAATTTAGGAAAACAAAGGTAGGTTTTTGTCATAGACATAGATAGTTGCACATACAAAATAAAGAGAAAGACCTAGAATCCAGTCATAGCTTCTTGCTGAATAGTTGGTGGGTTTCAGAATAAACTCAGAGAAAACTTCAGGCTGAGAGACAGTGATGGCTAGCTGTGTTGTTTCCTGTTGTGACCATTGGAAATTGAGTTCTCCTTTCCATGAGCTGAGTGGAATGCTCATCAGGCTGAGTCTTCTTAGGTGACTGAGCACTGCTTGGTGTTTTGTTTTGAATAATTTAATCTGTACAATAAATGTGGTATGGACTGTTCAAGGGACGTTTTGTACGCTGCCCTCACACTGTGCAGTGGATAATCTTTATTGTCTTGTTGTTTAGTATAAAAGCAAGGATAATTATGCCAAGTGCTGCTATCATAAATATGGAGTAAGCTGAAGCGTGACCTTTATGCCAGCGTAGATCTAGTGTGCACAGCAGATGTAGAGTGTGAGCTCATCAGCCTTGGCCTGGCTGAAACAGGCTTGCATCCAAGCGAGAGAGGGAGAGAGAGTGTGTGTATGGGTGTGAAAGAGACAGAGGGAGAGAGACAGAGAGACTTGGTAATTCATTAACTCTTTGTATCTCAAAATGAAGCTTTCACTTAAACTTTGCATTGGAAGTTTGGAAAATTACTTGAAATAAAACTTAAAGATTTTTATACAAATACAACCTCTATAGAGAAATTAATTGCTAAGGAAATACAAGGGAAAACCTACATTCCTTGATGTGTTATAACCTAGTCACGTTGAGTTTCTAACTCCAGGATGTTGAACCAGGATGCTGCTTAGAGATTTCTACAGGGAGGGAAGAGTGTTTGTCTTTCCCAGTTTTCTCACAGAACCCAGGCCCACCTGACTTTCTCTGCATAAGACAGCAACTCTGTGGCTCAGGCACGCTGTAGTATCTGCATTCCCAGAGACCCCTACTCTTCCTTCCCATGAGGAGGTAGGGGCTGGATGACAAAGGTAATTGCACTGGTAGTGGCAGTCATGGGTTCAGAAGTGCCCAGGCTAGACCATATTTAGCCAGCCTCCCATTATCCCACCCTCACCTGAGGCCTTCCAAACTGACCCCTGTTCACTGACACTGTACCTCAAAGATGAATAATGCCCAGGAAAAGAGGAGATTGGGCATAAAACAGCCCGATGGGCTGGCATTCTGGCTTCATTAGAGTGGGCATGCTCAGATCCTGGAGTACAGGCTTGTGCTAATGCTTGAATCTACCTACCTCCCGGGAAGGCTTGGGGTCATCAGATGGGAGGTATCCATTTGAAATGTTCAGACCCTGAAAAATGGCACCTCTCCAGATCTGAGCCTCATATAGCCCAGGATGGACTCAAATTGGTTACATAGCCCAGGCTGATTTTAAGCTTCTGATCCTTAGATCTTAGGAATTCTGAAATTACAGGTATATGCAACCACACCCAGTTTTATATGGTGCTAGGAATTGACCTCTAGGCTTTGTGCATGGAAACTAAACACTCTCCTAGCTTAGCGACATCCCCTAGCTCAAAATGGAATCTCTTTACAAAGATCCTAAGAAAGAATTAACAGAAATAGGAAATGACAGACCTGGAACTTTTAGAATCCAAAAGTTGGCAGTGCTAGATATGAAACCCAGGGTTCATTCATGTTGGCAAGTGTTCTGCCCCTGAGCCGCATGCCTAACCTAATACTGCTTTTCAAGAGGCAGTGTTCCAAGATTTTTCATTAATGATAGAAAAGACTAAAAATTTTAGGACATAGTATCAACTGCATCTTATAAAACTAGGAAAGGACACAAATGCCGACAGTGTTTTGGATTATAGAAATTTGAATTAAATTTTTTATTTAGGTATTTTAATATTTATTTTTATCTTCTATGCATGAATATTTTGCGTGTATGTGTGTGCACCGTGTGTGCCTCATGTGCAGAGGCCAGAAGAGTACATTAGGTTCTGGAACTGGAGTTGCCTATGATTACGAGCTGCTTTGTGGGTGTTAAAGCTGATTTTGGGTCCTCTAAAAGAGCAGCAAATATCCTTTAAACACTAAACCATGTCTAGTGCTTCATTACTGTTATTTAGTGGTTTTTTTTTTTTAAGTCTGTATTAGTCAAGGTTCTCTCAAGTAATAGAACTTGAATCTCTATATATATAGAAAGAGGATTTACTAAGATGATTTACAGGCTGCAGTGCAGCTAATCCAGCAGTGGCTGGCTGTGAACAGAAATGCAGCAGTTGTTCAGTCTAGCTGGATGAGCTGGATGTCTCAGTATACCCTGGAATCCCGAAAAAAGTAGTCTCTAATGCAGGGAAGGAATGGACTTGCTGGCAAAGTGGGGAAAGCAGGCAAAGAGCAAAAGCCCCCATCTCTCATGTCTGCATATAGCTTTCCAGAAGAAGGCATGGCTCAGATTAAAGATGTGTCTTCCCGTCTCATGATCCCATTACAAGTATGTGTCTTCCTACCTCGAAGATCTGGATTAGAAGTGATCAACCTGCTTCATATTAAGCAAATTTCTTACAGGCGTGTGCCTTTGAACTTTGGGTTTTAGGTAAGTACAGGTAACAACCAAGAATAGCCAACACAAGTCTGTGTCTTGTCAACTTGACACACAATTATATCTTCTTATGTCATGATTAATCTCCAAATGAAATATATAGCGTAGTATCTAAACATAAGTATTCCACTACAATTACAAATGCATTATATATTTAACCAGGTTCTAATTACACCTAACATAGCTATCACTCATACAACTACAAACAAAAATTTAGAAAAGGTAGCAATATCCCTTGAGGAATATTCTTCTAGTATCTCCAAATTTAATTATGATAACCATTGATATTCTGTTAGTTGATGTTCTAGCACATGATACATTGATAATACAGATATATGTATAAACATATTCTATAAAAATAAGACAGAAACACTCATGTCAACCATAGTCTTTGTTTCTGTAACTGGTCACATGGTGTTAACTGGTATGTTATTATTTTGTTTTTCTAGACAGGTTTTTCTGTGTAGCCCTGGTTGTCCTAGAACTAGCTCTGTAGACCAAACTGGCCTCCAACTCACAGAGATCCACCTGCCTCTGCCTCCTGAGTGCTGGGATTAAAGATGTGGACTACCATTCCTGGCTCTTAGCTCATATTTTATAACTACCTTCCTCTACTACCCATTCTGTATTTCCTCCATTCTCCATAAGAATCTCAGCAGGTTTTGGTTCTTTTCCTAGAGGAGTGACCCATACCTTTATTTCTGGTATGTTTGTGCCCTTTGTCATCATTCCTGGATTAGGCTGTTGTAATTTCCTGTTGACTTTAATCTCAGGACATGGTACCACCAAGAGATACCCTAAGAGATGTCCTATACTCCAGTCATAATCTTTCTTACATCGACTGTGGAGAAGCAATCCAGTTTTCCCTTTGTAATCTAGACCTATCACACCTCTTAACACTGTTATTCCGTTCTTAGCATATTGGCTTAAGGGCATTCGAAGCCCAGAGTGGCAAGTGGAAAGTCTGAGCTTCCAGTTGAATGAAATGTTTGTTGTGGTTCCTGGCAAGGGTGCTCCCTACTCTGAAACCAAACTTCTAGACCAGCAGAACTTACGGCCTAGAGAACTGGAACAAAATCTTTCCTAGTAGATCATTAGTGGTGATAATGAGTGGAACTATTTCCTACTCCATCCCTTGATTCCTGGACCTGTGGATCCTGGCTATGGGAGAAATCACACTGTATTTTGGATGGTGACTCAAAGAATATCCTGCCTCTTGCCCCAGCCCTCCATGCTGCTGCCACCTAATTGGAAGTGTAATTGTGTCTTCTAAAGGCCATTCCATCTTTCTGTCAGGCCAGCTGCTTCAGGATGATTGTGGGCCACTGTTGTACTTCTCTAGCTATGAAGTGAGTTCCTTGGTCAGAAGCAATATTGTGTGGAATACCATGATGGTGGATAAGGCATTCTGTAAGTCCATGAGTAGCGGTTTTGGCAGAAGCATTATGTTTAGGAAAGTCAAATCCAAATCCAGACTGGGTATCTACTCCTGTAAGAACAAAGCATTGTCCTTTCCATGGAGTAAGTTGTTCAATGTCAACCTGCCACCAGGTCACCTTGGGGAATAGTGCATATATGAGATGTAGTTTTTAGGAGCATCTGTAGCCAGGTCAGCAGTGGTGAGTGGACGTCCATGTTACGGAGCCCACGCAGAGCCCTCCTCCTGCCTCCATGGCCGCTTTGTTCACTGAATTCTTCCACAGCCGAAGTCACCGTTTGATGAGCATTTACATGGGATACAAATATCTTCACATCCTTTGCCCATTTGGATAGCTCTAGCCACATACTTCTTCCCCAGATATCTTCCTCGTGTATTTTCTAATTATATTCTTTCCAAAGCTCTGACCATCCAGCCAATCCATAAATCTGAACAATCACACATCTGGCAATTTTTCCTTCCAAGCAAAATGTGTACAGCCTGAAGTTCTGCCCACTGAAGATTTTCCTCCACTGGTGTCTTTGAGGGTTGTCCCAGAAAGAGATTGTAATGCTGCAGCTGTCCACTTCTGGTGGTGCCTTCTTAACATGCAGAACTATCATTAAGCCATGCCTTAGATATCTCTTCCTCAGTCAACCAATCATAAGGC